TCCAATCTTAATTACTCTCATAGAAGACACAATCAAAAAGAAAACACATCATTCATGGATACCCAAAACACGTTAACTCAAATGAAATGTCTAATAGTTAACTACTGAGGCTTCAAGCTATCTCAAGATCCATTTCCTAAAATACCTTGCTAGTCTGACTTCAGCAAAATAAAAAATGCATTAAGCTAAAATAAAATGAGCTCACACGTTCAGATTTATTTTCTGTGTAACAAAACGCCTGTCAACTATGGCTTGAATCTGGGATGTCAAAAATATTGGCATCAAAATCGCAGGGCCAAAACCAATGGCAAACCTGAATATTGCTTTTTCAATGACAAAGATACCTTTAACTCTGGCCAGAGTGCCTTTAACTTGGGACCAGAAGACCCGCTTGATGGAGTGGAAAGAACTCCAATCTAGAAACAGGGACATGGATTCTAGTCTTGTTGATGGTATACTAGGTGGGTAGTTCCTAAGCAATCACTTAACTTTCTTTCTCAGGGTTTACTTTCCTTATTTACAAAGTTGACTAGACCAGCATTTTCTAAACTCACCTGACTGTAGGGTAACTGTTAACAATATGTGTCCCAAGACTCCTTCCCTAGATTCTGTTTCAGGACACCCCTGCTTGAGGCCTAGGACCTTATTCTTAATAAGTGATCCAAGTGGTTCTCATCATCTGGTAAGTTTTGCAAACACTGGAGGAAATGATCCTCCGCCTGCCTGCTTCCACCTCTGATTCTACACTAGCTGGGTAGTTCATAGTAATGACCTAAAAACATACAAAATTATAAGAGTTTAACATTGTTACTGTACAAAGTAACTAGAGATACAAGATCACGGAAGCCAATACATCCACCCATCCATCCCTGCCATCATTCATGCCTTTAAACACCAAGAAAAACATCTTTCTAGATTCTAGGCAAGTGGAACACTTTATTTGGTGAGGAAAAAAAGTTTCAACATTAAACTCTCAGCACACTGATATGGAAAGACTTGTGTTAGAGGAAGAGAGAATTGTACACCTAATGTTTTAAGTGAAAAGTACACATCGCACTCTTCCCTTAAGGACCATTATCTGGTGATCCTACCTGTTCCTAGTTAAGGAAAAGCTAGAATATAGCCTAAGTCCCTAGTAGCTATAAAACCGCATGTTCTGCAGTACTGGAAGACAATTGTTACAAAGTGAAAAGAAAAAAAAGCAAAATAAAACAAGGATAACTGGTTACTAATTCTTCAAGTTCAACCCTAGTGGCCGAGAGTCCACAATGTTTTACAAAGAAGGGTTTGTCAGGTCAATGGAGAACCTCTGGTTTCCTTTCTGCATACAAAGGCAACAACCTTCCATGTAGTTTCCCCTCCACTCCACAATTTCGCTTCAGGACGATTTTTCTAGAAGTCTCATAGTCTTATACTGGGGTTTACTTTTATTCTCTTATTTAGATTTATTAGTAACTGCAAAAGCAACAAAAGAAAAAGAGAAAAACTGCATGGAACACAGAGCAGCAGAGCTGTCAGGAATACTCATTAGCAATCAATTACTATATAGGTGACAACAAAAATGCAAATAAAATCAAGATTAAAATGCAAAACTGAATTTGAGTCCTCCTTGCAACAGGGCAGATAAAAAACAAGAGTGAAACATTACTGCATGCTTCAGCTATTAGAAAAAGAGCTGTAGAGTATATCAGTAAAGCAGCACACTAGTACATTATAATGTTAGCATAAAACATTTTCAAAATGAAATTTGATGCTTGGCATGGAAACAGAATTCTTTAGATTCAGGATCACCCAGGCCAAAAAACTGATTTGTTTCAATGGCAAAAGTGGGGAAACCAACTGTTACGTACAATATCACAGAAGCACTGGGTTGAAAGCCATCTATACGTTTAAATACATTTCTGTGACTGTTGCCCAACGAGCTCCGAAGCAATGTTTTGACAAAAGACCAAACTTCACACTCACTCAAACCAGAAATATAAGATCAGAATCCAGGGGACCAGTGCAATGGTGAAGCCTAGAGTGGTAAAGAGCTCCAGTTGGGTTGTCACACGGACCTGAGTTAAAACCCCAAATCAACAAATTACTGTGTGACCTTGAACAAATCATGTAACCTGAGCCTCAATTTCCTCATTTGTAAAATGGAGAAAAGGCTTCGCTTGGCCACTAGGAGACTGAAACAAGGTAATTCGTGTAAAGCATTCAGCCCTGTGCCTGACACAGTCAATAACCAATAAGCTAACTGTAAAATGAGTATGATGACTTCTTCCAACCTCAAGGCAAGCTGAGTTTCCAAGTAGCCAAGCTAAAAGTTCTAATCAGTAGAAAGAAGACGTTCACATATGCTTATAGAAAGGTAGCTTTTCATGTCTTTCCACATCGCAAAACTTTCCCCTCGGTGGTAAAGCAAAACTCATGCTAATGATGTACAGCTCTATACAGTGGACTTCAAGGCAGGCATTCTTAGTTGGGAAGGGCAATTTTCAATGAGATCTGGATTAATGATCTAACAGTTTAAGGGAGTTAAGGTGGTATTACTAGGAGAAGGAAGGAAACAGAGGAAGAAAAAGCCTTCACACCATCCCACACACCATTATTCAATAGAGAAAAAACAATAAAGGTTGACTGTTCACAGTATTTCAAATTGAATTAGAAAATAAAGAAAACAATATCTGGTGAAATATTGTAACTCACAGGGAAGAAAGAACTAACACAGCTGTTCGTAAGGTTAAAGTGGCCAAACTCATCAAAAAAGATCAAGAAAGGGAAGGTGAAAAATCAATGGTTCTTACAGTGTAAGTAACAAACACCCACTCATCCTTTTAAGATCATGGCTGACAGTTCTCATTTGTAACCAGCTGTCCTTACCTGCTCTTCCAAACATGCCACTAACTTGAGTGTATCTTTAACTTGTACTACCTCCTTAACCAAACATATCACTTTGGTTAAGGACAAAAATAAAGTCCTGTGTATTATTATTTTTCAAAAATTCATGGGAAAATATTAGTAACTTAGTTATCTACTGTGAGAGGTTAACATTGGGGAAAAAAAGTTGCTCCTGAAAAATAAACCACAGAAAATACATAGGAATATTGTTCAAGGACAACCAAAAACAAGTTTCAAAATGATGCAGATTTTGAAATTCTGAGGTAGGAGCAAGAGTCATGAGCTGTAAGGTGAAGAGCTAAATTCACGGAGAAAAAAGATATGGAAGTGAAGAAAAGGCTTCATCCAGCAGGGAGGACACACTAGTGTTTCAATCCACCAGGAGATAGGCAAACGTTCTGATTAAAAAAAATCATGGAATAAATTATCTGTCTCAATGTTGCAAAACCTAGCAACAGAAAGTAAGTATTTCAGAGGCATTTTTCAGGCACTGCAAGGTATCTTTCTGTACTAGAGATATTATTGCAAAATGAAAGAAGAGATTGGTCAGATGCTCTAATTAACAGCTTAGCAGTGAAAGGATAATGACACCCCAGATGAAGCTCTCTCACTAGATAATGGACATTTTCTTTTTACTGTTTAAGAATCCAGAAGAATCTCCTTCTGCTTTTAAATGCAAATTACCAATCACTGAAGCACATTCTGCTCTATTCCTTTATCTGAAAATTACTGCAATGGGATCCTGTTCCAGAGCGGACACCATTCAGCCCGGAGAATGGAATTAGGGCAACCACACGCTCTATGGGGATGTTCAGATCACCACGTCCATGAGCTGTCACTGCTTCCACATAGCTTTTTTCGGTGGAGAGACCACTCTGAGTGCTCAAAATTCTATCTGAAGAAGGAAAACTTTGTTTTGAGGACAATCAAGTCATTAAAGGTTACACACACATTTTAATACCTGCACTGGTACCATAGCAATTAAACAGCTCAGCGGCCCCTGGCTTTCAAATGGCAACACTGTTTACTAGAAACTTTTTTCAAAGACAGAATTTCAGTAGTAATAGCATGAGTTGTTATTCGCCTGTTCATTACATGGTGAAACAAACAAAAAATACCACCATGCAAGACAGGTGAGCAAATCAGACTCTGCAGGACTCTCCCCTGTTAAAATTCCCCGGAACAGAGAGCACTGACTTGAAGACAGGCTTCAACTTAATATATCAAGTGATCAAGGTCAAAAAGAACACTTATTAACCAGAAAAACTCGAGAAAGAAATAAACCACAATAGAGGGCGTCATCCCACTGTTAAATGTGCAGGATTTCTGCCAAAACCACACTTGGTTTGGTAAATTTTGTCAAGTAAATATAAGCAAATGGTGAAGAAAGCTAGCCAAGATAGCCTCACAAAAGGTTAACTCACTTCTAGGCTTTCCAAGTCATACATTAATAATTAACTTTACTTTAAAAAACACACACCAAAAAAAAAAAAACAACACCTCTTTTCTAGCTAAGGCAAGTCACACCCTAATGAGTGAATCTTTTTGGTGGTATTTGTCTTAACCCATCCGCTATCCTCAAAGACAGACCTCAATCTGCCCCACAGGTGGCCTGACAACCAGCAAAAGAGCTACTGAAAATGCACTTCCAATCTCTGAGATGTCAGTGAATGTTAAAGGAGGAGGGAAAGGATCGTACTGGGTTTAGAAAAACGATTTAAATGTTTTCCAAATGCCTGAGTTGAGTATATCTCAGCCAGATGTCAGAGCCTGGCATTAGCCCCTATTTGCACCCACCCACTGAGTGGGGCAATGAACGCGGCAGACCCCTCAACACGAGAGCGCCGGCAGTATCATGCACAGAAAATAGAACGCCTGCTTCCTGAAATGCGAAAATGCCAGTGGCGTTAGCCTTATGCTTTTAAAAAACCTAGAAGCGCTTACTAGTTCAATCCATCCCCAAATCCATGCCACCCTTTGAACTTCGCAATTAAGACAGAGGAGAAATTCCGGTCAACTCGCCTTGGGGGGTTGGTCTGAGGGTAGAGGGCTCAAAGAGGGAGGAGGACGGAGAGAGAAAGAGCAAGCCAATGAAAGATACGAAAATTTCCCACCTTTCTTAAATTCTTCCAGCATAGCGTCCAACTTGGTGTCATTGAAAACAAAGTGCAAGGGGTGGTTATAAAATTTAGTGATGGTTTTCAGGGGAGTACAGTCATCTGGATCCACGAAGGCCAAGTCTTTGACGAAGAGGAGGTCCACGATGTTGGAGCGCTCCCCCTCAAATACTGGAATACGGGTGTAGCCGCTCTCCATGATCTCCGACATGGTGTTGAAGTCCAGAATGGCTTCGCCGGTGATCATGAAGCAGTCCCGGAGCGGAGTCATCACGTCCTCCACTGTCTTGGTGCGGAGTTCCAGCGCCCCTTGGATGATGTTCAGCTCCTCCTTAACGAGGTCGTTGTAGGGGTCGGTAACCCGGAGCATCTCCAGCAGTTTTTCCCGGTTATAGACAGTGCCTATCTCCTGGCCCAGGACGCAGTCCAGCAGCTTGCTAACCGGGTAAGAAGCGGGGAAGGTCATCATCATGAAAAACTTGGTGAGGAAGATGGTGTTAGCCCCTACAGCCAGGCCGTGCCGGGAGCAGATGGCCTGGGGCACGATTTCCCCGAAGATGACGATGCCGATGGTGGAGACCACCACCGCCACGAGGCCTGAGCCGGCGATGTCGTCGAGCAGGATGGTGAGCGTGGTGTTGACCAGCACGTTGCCCAGCAGCAGCGAGCACAGCAGGTAGTTGCCCTGCCTGCGCACAGGCTCGATGCGCTTGGCGTAATTCTTCTCCTTCTCCGTGCCGCAGTTCTGCACGATGCGCAGCTCCATCGGGTCCAGGGCCATCAGCCCCAGGTTGAGGCCGCTGAACATGCCCGACAGGCACAGGAGCAGCGAAATGAAGATCACCTGCAGCCAGAAGGGCAGCAGGAACTTCTTCTCCTCGCCCACAATCATCTTGGTGTCCTCGCCGTCGTGATAAATCCAGGTGGTCTCGGCCCACGGGGGCGGCGGGAGCCCGGCCACCCCGGAGCCACCCTTGCCCCCGACGGCGCCCCCCGCGGACCCCGGGCCACCGGCGCCCAGGGCTGGCGTGGAGAGCGATGTGCACAGGTAATAGGACTTGCTCTTCTCCATCTTGCGCAGCGGTTTGATCTCGATCTCAATGATGCCCGATGTACGGCGGTTGAGAATGATGTGGGGCAAGATGATGATATCTGAGGTGCGGATGCCGCAGCGCTGGGGGCCGCTGTCCGGCTCTGGCGGCGCGGGGCCCCCGAGCCCGCGCTCGCCCGGGCTGTGGCGCCGCCGCTCATGCTCCGTGAAGGCGATGCGGGACCACGTCTCGTTGTTGATGTTCTGCCCGTACACCCGCAGCTTGACCCGGGTCCGCTCGCTCACCCGCAGCGCCCCCCCTTCCATGAACGACACGTCGTTCGTGTCCTCCAGCCGCAACCCGATGATCACCGTCTCCTCGTTCTCGCCCGCTGCTGCGCAGCCGCCCGCGCCGCAGCAGCAGCTCAGCAGTAGCAGCGGCAGCAGCCGCCCCGCCGCTGCCTGCAGGACCCCCCGGCCGCGGGCGCTGAGGCTGCGGCGCGCCGCCATCTTCCAAGTGGGCAGTGCGGCGGCTGCCTGCCGGCCCGCCATCTTTACTTCGGGTTCACAAGCGCCACAGCCAATCATAGGGTGGCTGCTCCAGCTGCGGCTTCATCCTTCCCACCCGGCGGCGCGAGCGCAGGCACCGTCCCCTGGGCGAGATTGCAGCGGAGCGTCCGCACACACTGTTCAGCAGTCTGGCTTCCTGACTGACACTGACTCTGCCTCTGCTAGCTGAGGAACCTGGAGACTCGCGGGAGGGGGCAAAGGGAGGGGGAAGAGCCAGCCGCTTCAGCGAGAGGCAGGCGGACCAGCCAATCACGCGCGGGTGCCCGCCCTCCCAGCCAGGGGGCTGGAATGGGGGCGTGGTCATGAGTGGAGCCGCAGACCAATAACAAGGTAGGTGGGTGGGGCGATGAAGGCCACCGTCCCCCTCAGCACGCCAAGTTTCCAAGTGAAAGGCGCGTGACTCTTGTGTATGTGCGAGGGGAGGAGGTGTGGCCAGCTGGGGCCCGAGAGCCAGTCACAGATGAGAGCTCTACGGAAGTGGGCGGGGCCTCGAGTCCAGCTACCAATGAAAAGGGGCCGTCTGTGGGTCTGGCGCTCCCTGAGGGGCCTCGGTAGTAGAATCCCGCACCTGGGTAGACAGTGTGGGGCTAACGTCCTGGGGCGCTAGGCGGTCCGTTTTTCCTGCACCGCATTGCCGGCTCCCGCAGTGCTCAATGTTCGTGCGGAGAGGGCTGCCCCAGGAGTCCGAAAAGCCGACCAGGGAGGTCCTAAGATGCACATTTGCCTGAAAAGCCGGGATACCGGCTGCGCCTCCCACCTCTACTTGTCCGCGCTGCTCTGCCCGGGATAAGTGGCGGCTCGGTGGCCCCGGCACCTATCGACCGGCTTCTTCTGGAGCCTCTCATTTCTCCCTATGGGATGCGCTCACTCCGCAGCTTGTGGTCACGTGGCGCCACCTGCCGGCCACTTGGACACCCTGCAATGCTTTTCAGGTCTGCAAACCCCAAAAGCTGTGCCAGAGGTGAAGAGGTTACCCTGAAGCAGTTTCCCCACCTTACAAGTCAAGAATCCCCTTACTATACCACAAAGCTATCGTAATCAAAACAATATGGTGTTGACATGAAGAAGCACATAGGTCAATGGGATGGAATAGCGAGCCCAGAAATAAACCCACGCATACATGGTTAATTGAATTTAGGACACAGGAGTCAGGAGTGTACAGTGGGGAAAGGACAGTCTCTTCAATGGGTGGTGTTGGGAAAACGGGACAGCTACATATGAATGAATGAAACTAAGCCTCTATCTCACAATACGTAAAAATTAATTCAAAATGGGTTAAAGACAAATGTAAGCTCTGAAAGCATGGAACTCTGAGAAGAAAAGGTGGCAAGCTCTTTGACATTGGTTTTACTGATTTTTTAAAAAATTCTGGATCTGGCTCCAAAGGCAAAGTAAACAGAAGCAAAAATAAATACATGAGACTATAATAAACTAAAAGGCTTTGGCACCGTGAAGGAAATCAACAAAACAAAAGGCAACCAATGAAAGAAGATATTTGCAAATCACATATCTGATAAGGCTTTAGTATCCAAAACATATAAAGAACTCACATAACTCAACAACAACCAAAAAACAACCCAATTTAAAAAATGGGCAAATTATCTGAATAGACATTTTTTTTCTGAAGAAGACATACACATGGTCAACAGACACATGAAAAGATGTTCGACATCACTAATCATCAGAGAAATGCAAATCAAAACCACAATGAAATATCATTTCACATCTGTTACAATGACTATTACCAAAAAGACAAGAAATAACAAGTGTTAGAGAGGATGTGGAGGCAAGAACCCTCTTATACTGTTAGTGGGAATCAACTTGGTGCAGACACCATGGAAAACAGTATGAAGATTCCGCAAAAAAATAAAAAGTAAAATTACCATATGACCCAAGTATCCCTCCTCTGGGTATTTAGCCAAAGAATACAAAAACACTAATTTGAAAAGATATATGCACCCCTATATTCATAAAAGTGTTATTTACAATAGTCAAGATATGGAAATACAATGGATTATAGTACTCGGTCATTAAAAAAAAAAGAAGAAGGAAATCTTGCCATTTGCGATAACATAGATGTTGAGGGCATTATACTAAGTGAAATAAGTCACAGGACAAAGAACGACACAGTACAATTTCACTTATATGTGGAATCCAAACAACAAAATCAACAAACAAAACAAAAACTCATACAAACAGAGAACAGACTGATGGTTATCAGAGGCAGGAGGGGTTAGAATCAGGCAAAATGGGTCAAAGTGCTCACCTGAATGGTGCTGATGGTAACTACATTTATGGTGTGCTCACTTTGTACACTCTACAAATACCAAATTTAACACTGTACACCTGAAACTTATATAATGTTATATACCAATTTTATCCCAATAATTACAAAAGAAGGGGCACTTGAGTGGCTCAGTTGGCTAAGCAACCAACTCTTGATTTCGGCTCAGGTCATAATCTCAGGGTCATGAGATGAAGCCCCAAGCTGGGCTCCGTGCTGGGCATGGAGTCTGCTTGAGCTTTGCTCTCTCCCTCTCCCTCTGCCTCTCCCCCCTCGTTTGCACTCTCACTCTCTTTCTGTAAAAAAATAATAATAATAATAATAATAATAAATAAAATAATTTTAAAAGAAGATAACTCGCATATTCTTGCTGAAAGTATATATCCCTGGGCCCCATTCCATGTTTACTGAAAGAGCATGACCCAGGAATCTGTATCTCTAACAGGCAGCCAGGCAAGTTTGGGAAATGGCACGGGGCAGACATCCTAAAAGAACCATAAAGGGTTCTTCTTCTTTTTTAAAAGATTTCATTCATTCATTCATTCATTCATAAGAGAGAGAGTAGGGGGAGGAGCAGAGAGAGAGGAACAAGGAGCAGAGCCCCACGCTGGGCTTGATCTCACAGCTCTGAGATCAGGACCTGAGCCAATGTCCTGCTTCCAACACTCAACCAACTGACCCACCCAAAGCTTCCTAATCACACTGACCAAACCCTGCTAGGTCCACGGGTTGCTCAGGAGAAAAAGATCCGTTGATAGAGCATGGGACTCTTGATCTTGGGGTTTCGAGTTCAAGTCCCACGTTGGGCATAGAGATTACCTAATAAAAAAATAAAAAGAAAACTTAAAATCCAGGAGAAAAAAAAACCTGAAAACCCAACTCCCCAGGACTCCCAAACCGCTGTGTACAGGAGGAGTCACTGTAGGAAAGTAACTGCCAAATTGGTCTTTTTGTTGCAACTTAAACATCCAAAATACAATTGCTATTTTCCTTTTCTTTTTTTAATTCCGCAAGCACATTTTCTTCCCTTTTCGTAAACAGGTCAGATGTTTCTGATTAATTTCTGGTAGGGGTGACAGCAATGTCCTCCTAATGGTTCCTTCCTCTTCCACATCTGCCTGTTTCCCTTCTCAGCCCAGCAGCCAGAGTGGTCTTGTTAAGTCAAATCCTGTTGTTCCTTTGTTTGAAATCCTCATCTGGCTTCCCATTTCATCACGTAAAAGCCACAGTCCCTACAATATCCCACAAGGCTCGGAAGGGTGTGCTGCCGCCTCCCCTGATTTTTCCGACCCCATCACCTGCTGCTCCAGCCAGTTCCTCCTAGCCCTCTCTCATTCACTTCAGGGATGCTCCCTGAGGAGCCTGTGTACCTGCCATTTGTTTCCTGTTCCTGGGACTCTCTCCTCCCTGATGTCAGCATAGCCCATCATCCCCCCCTCCCAAGACTGCCCAAAGGCCACCTTTTCTTTTTTTCTTTTTTAAGATTTACTTATTTGAGAAAGAGAGAGAGCACATGAATGGGAGGGACAGAGAGAGAGGGAGAGAGACTCTGAAGCAGACTCTGCACTGAGCACAGAGCTCAACGTGGGGCTCATCATCATGGATCCTGAGATCACCACCTAAGCTGAAACCAAGAGTCGGACTCTCAACCGACTGTGCCACACAGGTGCCCTAAAGGCCACCTTTTTCTAAACTCACGAACACTCCCTACACTCTGTCTCTGCTTTATTGTCCTTAATTTTATTATCTGTCTCCTTCCACTAGGGCTTGAACTTCGTGAGGATAAGGATTTTGTCTCTTTTGTTCACTGCTGTATCACCAGGGCCTAGAACAACAGTAGATGTTGAAAAGAGAATCGGTAGAATGTTATAGAAATGAAAGCATTTTTATTCTGATTGTTTTCAACTAATGTCCCTGACTCTACTTTCTAGCCCTTCAGGTTCTGGCAATCCTTCCCCCACCCCCAATTCACTGACTGCTCTATTTGAAAAATAAGTTCAGATGGAAAAAACCCAATTCACAAACTTGGCATGCATTTATAAAAATAACACTATCAAAGTGTAGAAGCAAAAAAAGTTGAGATTTTTAGGGATATATGACAAAGTTAAATATAGATATGGTCTTTCGAAGTCAGCTGATTGAAAATGAAACTGTTTTAACTTCTTTAAAAAAGTGTGAATTCAAGTGTGTTTAAGGGAGCTAAGAGGGAAGACCATTAAAGGCTCATAAATGCTGAATATACACTTTAAAAATAAGTGTGGAGAAGGGGGGCAGGGGAGAGCTGGCCAAACATACAGATATTTCCTGTGCATTGCAGAGAAAGCTGGAACAGTCAGGAAAACATGGCATTCAGCAGTTTAGAAACAAGGTACAAATTCAGGACTTCAAAGCAAAGAATATAAGGAAGGACCCACTGGGACAACTTATAATATAAAAGTAACCAAGCTCAGGGGCGCCTGGGTGGCTCAGTCAGTTAAGTATCTGACTCTTGATTTCAGCTCAGGTCATGATCTCAGGGAGATCAAGCCTTGAGCTGGGCTCACGCACTGGGCGTGCAGCCTGCTTGGGATTCCCTCTTTCCTGCTCTCTCTTGCAGCCCCCCACCATAAAAATAAAAAACAAACCAAGCTCAAATTCACACAAGCTCAAACATCACAAAGTGATGTTTATCCTGAATGGTGCCAGGGGCGGGGGGGGGGGGGTCATATTTTTCATGTAGACCCAAGACACAGAGCAATCTAGACACCTAAGCCAGGCACATTTTCCTCAGAAAGAAGGATCTTCCAGTTTGGAGGCTTGTTAGCTCCAAGAATGGCCCTCTCCTTAGAGAGGGGCTGCTGGTGCAGGCTTCTTGTGACTTCCAGGGGCTTTCCAGTCTGCCCGCCTGTATGAATAGAGGACAAAGGCAACACTTGCTT